AAATTCTCCTAAATCACTCGTACGCACAATTTAAGAACAAATCTGTGCGTAAGAATGGTTCTTGCATGAGGCCCATTGTCTGGGTGCTGATAGAATTCAGCAGTCCATTCAGTTGGTCAGTCTTCCAGGAGATGAACAGCCACCGACGCTGTTTTGCAGAATACCAGGAGACCACCAAGCCAAACTGTAGAATCCAGTGATCAGAATCCAGACATATATCCAGAACAAAGAACAGAGGTCCCACCATTAACATGTACTCCCATGGAAGAAAAAACTTTGTTCCAAAAATTTTGAGAGACCAGCTAACCAAATCCATAAAAATAAAATATCCATAATTCCTAGTTTCAGATGAAAAATGTAGAGAATGCTCCAAGCAGCAAAGCAGGGAAAGATAAGGAAGGGCAGGAGAGAAGGAAAAAGCCTCTTCTGAGAGTGGGAACAAAAAAAAAACTGACCTGCAGACCAACACGAGATATGATTTGTGCCCTTGAGGCACTTGTCTCTTCTCTAACCTTGGTGTATTTGTTGAAGTTCTGGAGAATCTCCCAGCCCCAGTCCTGGTACTTGTGATCCTTGGTGAGTCTGTACAGATAGAAGAGACTCTCCACGGTCTCTGGTCGAAGGAGGTTGTGTCTGTCTGCAAGCTAAAACAAAACATGTTAGACAGAAATAGTTCAATTATTACATTCATTTTCCTTTGAAATGTGTTAAAAAGGTAAACCTGAGAAACAGCTAACTTTTTTCCTGGTTTACTTTTTGTCTGTTCCTTTTTCACTTTTTTGACCAGTTAAGAGAGAAGCTGTGACAGGTGACAGAGGAACTGTGATTTTAGAGATTTAGGACCAGAGTGTGAGATTCAAGCCAACTATATAAAGCAAAAACTCTAGACTGTACAAGACATAAACATRAACAGCTGTTAGTGTGACAGCAGTGAAAATGTTACAGATTTTTAGGCTTTGTTCTCCTGTTTCCTAATACTGTGTCCTCATCATAGAGTTATGTCAGACAACTAGAATGCACTGCCTATCCCACCCACTGCTTTCATCTGTGACACTATGAAGCAGCCAACATGACGTCCAAAGAGGTCAACAGCTCACAGCTCGACAAAACAACTGTTCCAATAATATCAAATTAGTTTTATTCTCTTTACAATGACCTAACATTAATTATAAATTCTGTTAATTTCTTTAACAGATTTTACAAGTTTGTAAAACAGTTGATGTTATTAAATAAAAATACACGCACTCCTATTTCATTACGCCTCCTTTAGTTTTGATTACAGCTCCTTTAGTTTTGATTACAGCTAACAGTCACTGTGGCACCATTTCCACAAGCTTCTGCAATATCACATTTATTTAATTTTCCATCAACATCTTGTACTGATAATGGGAGCTTCGGACCACATCCCAAAGATTCTCAACAGAGTTCAGGTCTGGACTCTGTGGTGACCTAGCCATACCTCGAGAGTCCTCTTTCACAGTTTGAATCCAATGAATCCTGTCATTGTCATCGTGGAATACACTCACCAACCACTTTATTATGTACACCTGTCCAACTTCTCATTAACATAAATGTCCAATCAGCCAATCACAAGGCAGCAACTCAATGCATTTAGGCATGTAGACATGGCCAAGATGATCTGCTGTAGTTCAAACTGAGCATCAGAATGAGGAAGAAAGGTGATTTAAGTGACTTTGAAKGTGGCATGGTTTTTGGTGCCAGACAGYCTGGTCTGAGTATTTCACAACTGCTGATCTACTGGGATTTTCACSCACAACCATCTCTAGGGTTTACAGAGAATGGTC